CGAGGACAAGGATCCTTCTGTCAGGTTGGGTCGACTACCTCCGCGACTAAGTAGACCAGGGACCACGATGGCCCGGGATGACGGAACCATGGGATCTTGATCGGGCTCATCATCCATTCCCCCACCATCCGCTTTAAGTGCTAGATGGTGGCACATTTCTATTTCTAATATCGAATCCTTCAAATTCCAAACTCCCAATCCTCAATATCCCAAACCTATTGCTGCTACTATAGCCAAATAACACGTATTTTATACGTATCTGATTGACGACTAGCCTTAATCGAAAGTTCTCTCTCGTGATCGGGAGGGGTAATTAACTATAGGGGCTTGCGCCTATAGGAAACCAGAACTCAGATCATAAAGTCCTCGCAAAATGAGGGCGAAATCTCTGGGTAGTGTCTTATTCTACAAACCCATCTGCCTTCCAAAATTTACCCCAGAACTTAGTTCGTTAAAACTCCCTCGTCGAAAAAGAAAGCGAGTGGAGGCCGAGGCCGAATTTTCGGAGCCCACAATGGTGAGAGGGCCCCGGCTATGGGATTTATTTTGAAGCAATGAATAGGGCTAAAGAAGACATTGCAAAGAATTGGGAGGTCAAGAAAGTGCCTACAAAGAAATATGGGATATTATAGATGAAAAGTGGGATCGACAATTACACCAACACTTACATACTGTTGCGTACTATTTAAATCCCCAATTTCATTATGATAAGGATTTTCATGTTGACAAAGAGGTGAAAACTGGTTTGTATGCATGTATGGACAAACTCATTTCTGAAGAAGACTACCTCAAAGTGAATGTATACAACTTGAGGATTTTCATTTAAGAAGGGAATGTTTGGATTTAGAGGCAGCACAAGCATGCTCAAAAAACACGATCTGCCTGTATGTTTGTAGTTTGTGTATTTATAATTTTAATGTTAATATTTATGTTTAAGTCTTCAACTTCAACCAATATACATAAAATACTATGTTTGACTTCATGTAGAACGTTGATGGATGAGCTCAGTTTGGAGATGATGTTCCTGAATTAAAAGCTTTTGCAGTTAAAGTTCTTAGCCTGACGTGTTCGGCTTCTGCATGTGAGCATAATTGGAGTATCTTCAATCAAATTCATACAAAGAGAAGAAATCGATTGGCGGCAGATCGAATGAACAAACTAGTTTATGTTATGTTTAACAAAAAACTGAAAGATAGACATCTCAAATTGCAAAATCAAGGAAATATTGAGAATGAAATTGACCCTTTGCTTGTTGATGAGTTACAATCTGATGATGAATGGGTTACCCTAAGAATGCTGATGTATCTGAAGTTGAAGCAGAAGGAGAAAGTCATGTCAATGAAGAAGACAATGAAGCAACTACCCAAGTATATAAAAGAAAGAAACAAAGTGAGATTGGAGCTTCAAAAAAAAATTTAAAGGTATTCTTAAACTAATGAATTATTTGTATTGTTACTATTATTTCATTTTAGAGCTAATGAAATATTAACTGATATAGAAGATAAAGAAAAAAATATTATAGATGAAGAAGAGTTGGAGGATAACTTTGACATTAATTATGAAGATTTTTCTGAAGACAATCAAAGTGATGATGAGCCTGCTTTGGGTCTAGATCCTAAGGGGATTGATGATGAGCCTGCTTTGGGTCTTGATCCTAAGGGGATGTTTTATTTTTAAGTGAGTTTATTTTAAATCTTGTATTCCAGTAATATTATCTTAAAACAAATCTTCAAATTCATAGTTGACATAATATTTTGTTATTTTTTTATTATTTATAATTTTAATTAATTTATTTTAATCGTTTTGAGGCTTACGCTTCGATCAGCCTCGAGGCTTACGCCTCGCCTCGCTTAGAAAAAAAGCCTCGATTCCCGATTTCGCCTTTTAAAACCTTGGTTTGTTCAATATGTTGCAAAATAGGTACATCATGAGTGTCCTAGAAGAATCCTACACATTAATGTTGATGACAAAGATAATGATGTTGACAAAGGAGGTGACTTTCAAAATTCTTTGATTGAAAACTCTTTAAATGTCATGTGATGCATTATTCTCACACCAAAGGTCAAACCTAATTGGAAAAGAACTTCAATCATTGAAATGTATTTTAAACAGGTGAAAAACATTGTTGACTCATTATTGATAGTAGAAGTTGCATAATGTGTTGTTTCCATTTTAAACCTCGAAAGCATAAATATAAACGATGAACTAAACCCGCAAACTCACAAAATAGCTTGGCTAAATAAAATTGCAATTTCCAAAACTAAAAATGACTGGGACCCATTTAGCTTGCTTCTTATAATGATAAGATCAAGTATGAAGCCTTTTCTATGGATGTTGCATGTCATTTTAGCAAAACCTTGGTTGTACAATTTAAATGTGAATTTTGGGAGGTATAATACAGTGCATTTAAGGTCAATGGTAGGATGATAGTTTTGAAATTTAACAAACCTACATTCCATATCAGAAAAAATTAATGCACACAATGGACTAAACTCTAAAGAAACATTTGCATATATTGAGCTAGAATGATTTTGAAAAGGGAAGTATAGCTAAAGTAGTCATTTATATCTTGATAGTTGTTTAATTGTAATTCAATCAAGATGTGACTAAGAGTACATCAATACCAGAGGATGTTAGTTGATTACTATCTGGATTTAAAAAATTATGTCCTGATGAATAACCACCACTAAAGGATATATAGCATGCTATTATTTGATTTTTAGATCATCATTATTTAATTAACCATATTATGGAATTAATCATAACAAACATGCTAAACATAAAAAAGATTCGATGAACTACTTAGAAAAGAATTTATTAAGGAGAGTTTAAATCCTTGTGTAGTACCTGCATTACTTACACCTAAAAGAATGATGATGTTGGAGAAAGTGTGTAAATGGTTGAGCGGTTAATAAAATAACAAATCAAGCATTGATTTCTCATACCATGGTTGAAAAATATCTAGACATGATGATTGTAGATTCTTATTTTCTCAGGAATTGATCTGAGTGGTTATCAACAAGGATGGGAGAATGGGAATGATGGAAGATTGCTTTGCTTTTAACACAAAGAAATGTTTATATGAATGGTTAGTGATACCTTTCGGATTAACTACCACCTTGAGTACTTTTATGAAACTCATAAATCATGCTATGCAACATTTTTGTAAAAAAAAAAAAAAAAACTTCAAACTATGTACTTGGACAACATTCTGATTTATAGAAATCCTAGAAATGAGCATCTAATACATCTTTGGAAAGTATTTAACAAGTTGCAAATTGAAAAATTGTCATGATATGTAAGTGTTGTTTAGTTACCCCATACATTATATTTTTGGGATTTTTAGTACTTTCCAATGGATTATATGTTGATCTTGATAAGGTTAAGATGATTTAAGATCAACAAAACCCAACCAACATTTATGATATTCAGAGTTTTCAAGATTTGAATACGTTTTACAATGATTCATCGAAGGATTTAGTATTATCATGACATCAAATTACCGATTGTTTTAAGAAAGGATACTTTAAGCTCACGAAATTTGCTGAAAGTAACTTCAATAACATTAATCAGAGACTTATTAATGCATGTGTATAAAGATTACCGAATTTTAACAAAGTTTTTGAGGCTTCATGTGATGTGTTTAGCAAAGGAATTGGAGAAGTGTTGAGTCGAAATGAGCATTCAATTGCTTACTTTGGAGAAAAGCTAAACGAAACCAAAACAAAATACGCCAATTATGGTAAAGAATATTAGGTTGTGCAATCATTTTAATATTAGAAGCATTTGTTGTTGCCCAAGGAATTTGTTCTATATTCAGATTTTCATATTTTAAAATAATTAAACTTCTAAAAGAAACTAGGACACAAAAATGCTAAATGGTTCAATTCTTTTAAGAATACACATTTGTGCTGAAGCATTATGTGAATTTGAAAATAAACCATTGATACCTTAATTAGGATTGTTTTCATCTTATCATGCAAGATAAGGTGACCAGCTTAGAACACATTAAAGAGGATTATGCCAATTGTAAGGAATTCAACGAAGCATATCTTGATCTAATTAGAATCTCAAATATGCTTAATAAAAGTTTCATGATTAAGAATGAATTTTTTTAGGGCAACTCAACTTCGCATCCCTAATTTATTTTTGTGAAGTTTCTTTGTCTTATAATTAATTTACAATGTTGCGAGGCATTTTGGTCATGATAAAACTAAATTCAAATTGAGGAGTATTATTGACCAAGCTTGAAAAGAGACGTTCTATTAGAGTGTCACAATGCAGAACAAGCCAAATATAAAGAAACATAATGATAGTCTTTGTACAGCATTGCCTACTCCAATAAAGATTTGGAAGATATTAGCATGCAATTTGTTCTAGGATTCCATAAATGTCGAGGAACCATGATTTTATAACACTTCTTAAAAATGACTCATTTTATTTCATATTTTAAAATTATTGAAATATCTCATGTAGTAAAATTATACTTTAATGAAGCAATTAAAGTATACAAACTACACAAAAGTTTTATATCTAAAAGAGATGTAAAATTCATAGTTACTTTTACACCAAGCATTGTCATCTTACATAATTTCCAACTCTCAATCTATCACACCACCTTCAAGAAAAATATCCCAATCACAGCAACATTCATTGTAAAAGTTTCAAGGTACATGTTATTGGCGAGTATAAGAGAAAAAAAGGTAGTAAAATTGATGAACTGCATTAGCACTCTGAGTTTACAAAATTATTGAGCACAAACAGCTAAGAAATATTGCAAATGAAGTAATGATCATATTCATATGTCTCCAACTTTACCCCAACGAAGAAAATGGAGTGATGCAAAGTTATAACACATAATGATCATAGGAATTCAAGGCTGTTTTTAACACATGAACTCTGTTGTTGATTCATTTGAAAATAATTTTTCAACTCTTCACATAAAGTGGTAAGCTAACCTGATTCCAAGTATAAGAGCAGCTTCTCTTCTAGTCATTGAAGCTTGGAAACCACCTTCATAAAATTTGCGCATCCTTGGAACTATGGGTTGTGACTTGTATGCATGCCATGCTTGGACTCCATATCGACCAGCAAGAGCAGCTGCAGCTACGGCAAGTCCAGCTAGAAGAGGAGTTGCCTGCAAGAGAATCATTTCCATAAGGGTACCAAAATATGGGATATAAGAAGACAACACGTACTACTAGTGTGGTATTAGGAATGGAAATCTGGTTTCAAGTGGTAAACCATATAAAATGTTCACACCAAATGGATTCCTAATACATACACAAGGATTGTACATGCATAAACACATTCATTAAACAAGCCAACCTTCACTGAAATCACCCCATAACAGCAAAGCTACTAACAAATTCAAGATCATCTTTACAAATAAGAAACCATGAGTTCAGGATCTTACTTAAATTTTAATAAAACTCCTGCAATAAAACAACTTGACAGTCACCAAAAGATAACTAAACAAAAAGATAAAGAAAACTAATGCAGCGGAGTTGTTGCAATTGCTGCAATCCCTAAAAAAGTCTCCACTGAATTCAAGTAAGGCTCCATAATATTTGATATTGGACAATATCAGTATATGATCAAGAGAATATGGATTTGATACCAACGGAGATCAGCACCTACGAGACCAATTAGTTCTTCAACAAGAGATTAGGAAACCATGAATTGTTCATTGATCCATTACCATTCCACAAGGCATCATATATCCATTTTTTGTTCAAATTTTGATTGAGATATTGCATATAGTTGTATTGGTTGAAAGGGCAATAGAAGTTTTAGGACTATCAAGGATCTTAAACATTTAATTCCATAAAACTCACAATAAATTCTTGCATCTTCAAAATCGTAGAGAGCATAGCTAAGAGTTTGTCTCAGAAAATAATAGTTTATAAACCCAGTGAAATTTCTTAAAGTTATTCCTGCTTCACCTTAATATGAATGTTTGAGATTAGAGAAGTGGTTGTCAAAATAGTAAATTTTACATGCATGATTCCACTCAAAGGAGGAATGCTGTAATGAGTTGCTAATAGCATTATTTAGCCTTAAGCTTATAGAATGCCAGTTAACATATGGATATGCATTCATGCAAAATAAAATGAACATTGCAATTGATGAAAATTGAAAAATAAGAAAAGCTTCAGACAATGTTTGAATGATTATCCAACTTCTACATACTAGATAATTAGCGGAACTAACCTTCCTTTGCAACCAAAATAAGCCTTCAACTCAATAGAAAATGGATCAAAAAATAGTATAGAAAGATAATTAGCACACAAAATACGCATCAACCTTGTATAAACAAAGAATCATTATGCTGAAGTATCATGGACAAACCATATGAATTAATAAATGAGACGGAAACTTGTTAGAGTTACTTAATTTTCAGGCACTCTTGCTGCAATATGCAATGATAAATAAAACTGGTTTCCATATCAAATACTTCACCGGGTATTTTCTTATGAAATTATATAAATGATCCCTTAGAATACATTTTTTTCAACCATAAACATGACAGGACTGATTTCCATTTCAACATCAGACTTGGAATAAAATAAATCAAAACTCAAAAGCTCTAGCTCGTAGTATAATCACAATAGCAGTAAAAGTCAGGATTCTCCAACACCGGCCACTACAATGAATCACCAGGTAATATTGCCAGCTCATCTTAACCCAAGTTTAAGCTCCGTTAGATACATTTTACCCAACCAATCATCAATTCTAATGCATTTAAAAGACAGCAAAGCACGCACAAGCAAGGGTAGATAGTCCTATCAAAAACTGAGCTTCTGACCCTGCAGCCACATTGCATAAGATAGTAGGACTACCAAGCCAACAAAACTATTTTCAGTATTATAAAATTTTCCCCAACTTATGTATTTGAAATTCAACGTAGCTACTTCAGTTACAAAACATAAACTTTCCTTTGTATTATAAATAATATCATCAACTTCAATGCTGTCATTCATCAACCCAAAACCCTCAGAGAATTGATCTCCTACTACAAAGCTAGATTTAATGTGAGTCGAGTTGAGCAAACAGGAAAAAGGAACATAAATCCACTTACTGACTAGTAAATTAGACATCGCCTGGATGGTGGTGAAAAATAACATGGACTAAAGCAAAGAAAGATGCCTCAGGCAGGAGGCAACAACCATGTAATATGTTTGCATGTTTTGAATATGATCTTTCTCTCATAATTCAAAGGAATCACGTTTTACCTAAATGATCAAGAATAAGCATACAAGAATATGGCTAACTTCACATTCCTCATCCTCCCCACTTACAAACCCTGTCACGTAAAAGGATAAAAATCTTCCACATATGTCCACGCTATAAGAAAAAGCTTTTAGAATCATAAATAGCTTCCTTCCCAGAATACCTTGGTGGAAAAGTGCTCTCTCCTCAAACTAAGTAGCCCAGGTCCATCTCCACTGACATGCAATTCTTCATTATTCCTGGTAGTTTCACATTTATTTTGGTATTCCTACACTTTACCATTCTCTGTTAAACAACATGGTTATTAACTAATGAACCAGGTCAAAATTACACATTTTGCTACCTTCATTTGAAGAAAGTCAATAAAATAAAAATAAGCCAGAAGAAATAGAGACGTTGGATTAAGACAATAAACAAGCAGGAACATTCATAGATCACGATTCAAAAAAAAAAAGCGACACCAAAAAGAATATCCAACTGATGTTCAACTTCTTATTACTTTATCCCGCACAAAAATGGTGACCTATATCATCAAATCTTCCGCAAACTCCAGAACTGAAACGCGAAAGAATCATACCAAAATAATAATAAGAAAAGATAAACATCGAAAACTAAAAAATTCCATTTGTAGAGGCGAAAGGAGAAGTAGACGTCAAGCTTACCATTCCAGCGGCGGAGATACCAATAAGAAGAAGAAGATGGGCATCCGGCGAACGCGCTACTGAGCCCTGAGTCGATGTACCACCGCACCTGTGTATACTGGCCCTAAACCTAGGACCAACCTCAATCTATTTTCCTTTAGGACAAAAAATAGAGAAAATTTGGTGAGGATATGGATTCTTTATGAGTTGATTGATTGATTATTTATAGTATGCTTATTTTTAAAAATAATAATATTTTTAAATTTATTTTATTGAATTGTAACTATAATATTTTGATTAAAAAAAAATTTTAAGGCCTACATTATAAAGTTAGATTGATAAATTATTTTAAAATTTGAGATTCTAATATATGGAAAGCCAAAATATAAGAATTATAAACTAGAAATAGTATATTTTTTAAATTAAAGGGATAGATTCAATTCAATTGAATTTTTAATACGGGAGCTTAGGGGTCTTATCCTAGTCATATGGGTTGAACCTTTTTAAGTATTATATATACTTTTGCATATATTAAAATTTTGTTTGGAACAACTTTTTTAATGCTTCATAAAGCAGTTTTCTAATACAAAATTTTTTATTTTGCATTAGAAAGCTACTTTAAGAAGCATAAAAAAAGCCTTCACAAACAAAGCCTAAATGTTATAATAAGCATGATTTCATATGTTGTTTGTATAGGATATGTTATGGTTATGGATTGTTAATATTATGATGTGTTGTACTATAATGATTTAGTCATTGCCCGCATTATCTAGCTATTTTTATACACATAAATTCATTATAAATTTTTGTATGTAATATTAATACAATGCCCTCAAAGGCCTTTTTTTTTTTTTTTTTTTTTTTTTTTGATTGGTACAATATTATGTTAGGCCTATTTAATTTATTAAATTTTAAATGGTTAGAAGAAATATGTGTGTAATACATGATGCTCCACTATCCTTTTACTTATATATTGGTATATCTTAGCTAGCAAAGTTTTATAAATTGGCTAAGGTACAATGATAGGCTTTTATTATTGCACTTATGAATTCAACACAATATTCAAAGCTAAAAGATCAAAGAGTCAATAATGATGTTAACTCTATATATAAACTTAAGCTTATATTTAATATTTAGATGATAAGAAATTCGGTATGGGCTAAAATTATTATTTAAGGAGCTAATGTATTTTATGAATAGTTAAATAGAGTGCATCAAAATGATATTTTGAAGCACATTCGTTACTTAAAGAAAATTGAAGGTACAATTAGCTTAAGTTAGTCTGAGTGAGATCAAGATCAAAGTTTCAATATGCAAAATTAGTTTCTTTATTTTGTATGTCTTATATTATTATAGTATCAAATGTTATTAATTCCATTGTTGAGGAGATATGATACTAATATGGGGGCGTTCTTTTCATATAGGAGATTAAAAAAAAAAAAGATAAGGGAAGCGGTCTAATGACATAGAACTAATAAAACTTATTTCAACCCATGTAAAATAATCATGTTAAGTTATACAATGAAATTCAAAGTTAATCCAAGTCAAGTATAATTTTTAGACCAATCAATCCCCCAAAAGGAATGGATCTGATAAGGTTAATTATACTCGAGGACACTTTTAAGAGACAATTTCAATAAGGAAATCATGCTATTGTTTTGACTTGCTTGGGTAAAAATCAATGATACACTATAATGAAAGGATTGTTATATGAATAGGACAGTCTATATTTGAAAATGGGTTTATCAATAAAGAAGAGGGTAAATCACTATAACCAATTCAAATAATTATCTCTTTGCAAAGAAAACCTATGGTCGGAGGAACAGTAGTCGGCAGGCGATGGAGGTCAAAAAGATCGTAGTCGTGCGATGGTGGTTGAAAGGAGTGTAGTTTGGCGACAGTGGTCGGGAGGACCATAGTCATGCAACAGTGGAGGAGGTATCGTAGTCAGGCTATAGTAGTTGGAAGGACCGCAATCTAGTTAAAAAAGGTTGATTAGACTAAGGGTTGTCATATTCAAAAGAGTATATCTAAATAAGAAAATATATGTTCAAAAGAGCATGATTATAATAAAAATATACTTGTAATGCAACCTAAGTTCTTAAATCAAGTAAGATAATACTAGGAATGCAAATTAAAATACTTCCTTTCAATATCACGTAAACAAATACAAACTGATGGAAACTTAGTAGGAAACAAAGATGAGAAAATGGTTCCAATTTTAATTTTGGAAGTTTCCAACTTGATTTTTTATCGATATTCATGCCCGATCAAAATAATTTTTTGATAACATATCAAGAAGAAAAGTTCATAGAAATTTTTTTAACTATATAAATAAATAACACCAAGCCTTAGAAAAACTATGGGATACTTACATATATGCATTTAGCATGCATCATTAGTTTCAAGATTTTAGGAAATCATTTGATATTAAATTGATTTAAAAGAATATATTCCTATTTTAAAAGAAAAAAAGAGGGTAGTTGCCTTGGAAGCATTTTAACTAAAATCTACATCCCATAATGCATTTCCAGTTAGATATTTCATTGTATTTAATTTAATGGCTTGTCAAAGGAAAAATACAACAAAAATTCTAAATATTCAATTAGGATTAATTTTAAAATCTTTCAATGTTTATGATTTTGTCCTTATACATTTGCAATTTTGAATCAATGATATCATGCTCTCATGTTGACTAGGAATTCTCAGTGGGATGGTTTTCAAGAAATCCTAGGCTATTGAGGAGTGGTCTTCTCTCAACTCATCATGATCTTAATTACTACACAAACCAAAGGTCCTAATCCAAAGCAATGGGTTGGATTCCATACCCACATGATTGATTTTACATGTCAAAATAGATCATTTACCTCTAAAGGGGTGAGGAAGGGAAACCCCATCAGATATTTAGTTGGGTGCTTTAAATTGCTGGGTCGACCAATACCACCATCATTTTTAGCCTCAAGCTTCAGGAACTAAACGAGTGGAATGACAATGAATTTCCTCACTACCTTAGCTTATCCCTTGAACAATGAGCCAAACCATGGTTAAAAATGGTTAATCTCCTTGCTTGAGCTACCACCTAGCTTGATCATATAATTGTGGATGGTGGAGATCATTTTGAGGACAAATAAGGCATGCTACGGAAAGTCCTTACATTGGATTTGCTTAACCTCCTAATATTATCCTGAATTGCCCTAGCCACCTCATTAACCCATGAGTTTTTCCTAGCTAATGGCTTGATTAAGGGTTGAGCTGGATGCTTAAATGGGATATTAGGTATTAGGGCTTCAACCGTATCAATTGAGCTAACTAATTTAATCACTAGCTTTGATTTATATCAATTAGGTTCATGCACCCGAATCAAAATTAACTTTATCTAAGGATAGATTTGCTAGGTTAGGGTTTGGTTTAACCAAAGGCATTCTATGTAAGCTCCATTAACCATGAAGTTTGTCAATTTGGAGGCTTTGGATGATTTTGTCTAGTTGAACTCATTTGGATTCAATTGAGCCAAAAGAGGTATAAGGTCCACAAAGATTTGATTGATTTTATGGCCATCCTATGCAAGCTTAAGGGTCCATAGATTTAGTCAATCTAAGGGTTTGAGTTCATTTAGTTTAAGGGATACCAAATGGGTCAAATTTGACTAAACTTGGGTCAAAAGCATACTAACATAAGGTCAAAGGCTTAATTGGAGTTCTACACACTTTGATCATTTATTTGAGTGTTATGATGATCTTTTGTTTAACATGTGCCAACTCGATGGCTGATTGCATCATTATTATACTGAGCCTATTTTTATGTGTTGATTTCTCTCTTTTAAATTGTATTTATTATTTTATTAAATTTTTTGTTTATATAGCCCCACACTCATTAACACTTGTATCCAAGACTTCTAAAACTAGACCGGACTGACCAGTCTAACCGATTGAACCGCAAAACGATCGGCCAATCAGATTGGGTTCACTTTAAAAACAATTTCACATAAAACCAATGTTGAACTAATTGCTCAACCACTAAATTGGCCCCAATTTCTGATAACCGACTGATTCAGCTATAGAGCCACTTTGCAAATATCGGACAGTATCCAACTGTTGATATATAAGTTATATCAATGACACCCTCAACATTATAAAAAAAAAAAAACAACAGAGTTTATTTAAACTTCGTTGGGATGACTTTCTTACTATTCATAAAACAATTTTTAATTAAAAAAATTTAATTTTTTATTAAAAAATTAATTTGAGTAATAAAAAAAACTATTCCAAAGAAAGCCTTAGAACAGGATCAGCAAACAAACTATTTCCAGCTAGTAAAAACAACTACTAACATAAATAAGCATCGATGCAAGATTCCGAATTCAGCAAACATAACTGAAACATTATCCATCACATAGACGAAATACGAAGACCATATGAAACTAGACGCGAAGTCTGTTCAACTCAACCAAATTGAACGAGTGAGACATAAAAAACAAGACGACACCAAAACCTCACCGCCACAGCATATCCAGCACCCAATCGGCAATCGGATACCAGAAAGCTGTACCGGATTAGACCAACACAAGGACAGAAAATAGATGACCTTACCACATAAATTAAAGACTCGACTCTAAATACTCAAACTGCTTTATTTCTTCTTGGCAGCAGACTTGGTAACCTTGGCGCCGCTGGGATCCTTCTTCTCCACGCTCTTGATGACGCCAACAGCCACGGTTTGCCTCATATCCCTCACTGCAAAGCGACCGAGCGGAGGATACTCGGAGAAGGTCTCGACCACCATGGGCTTTGTGGGAACCATCTTCACGAAACCTGCATCGCCATTCTTGAGGAACTTGGGCTCCTTCTCAAGCTCCTTGCCTGATCGTCTGTCAATCTTGGTCAGGATTTCTGCAAATTTGACGGCGATGTGGGAAGTGTGGCAGTCGAGCACTGGAGCGTAGCCATTGCCGATCTGACCGGGGTGGTTCATTATGATGACCTGGGAAGTGAAGTTGGCAGCTTCTCTGGCAGGATCATCCTTGGAGTTTGAGGCAACGAAACCACGTTTGAGATCTTTCACCGCAACATTCTTCACATTGAACCCCACATTGTCACCAGGGAGGGCTTCCTGGAGAGCCTCATGGTGCATCTCAACGGACTTTACTTCTGTGGTCAAACCGGTAGGTCCAAAGGTGACGACCATACCAGGCTTCAAGACACCAGTCTCAACACGGCCGACGGGGACAGTGCCAATACCTCCAATCTTGTAGACATCCTGAAGGGGGAGGCGGAGAGGCTTGTCTGTTGGCCTCTTTGGCTCTTGGATCAGGTCAAGAGCGTCTAGGAGAGTTGGACCCTTGTACCAGTCGAGGTTTGTGGATCTCTCAATCATGTTGTCACCCTCAAAACCAGAGATCGGAACAAAAGGAATCTTATCAGGGTTGTAGCCAACCTTCTTCAGATAGGAGGAAACTTCCTTGACTATTTCATCATATCTAGCCTTAGAGTACTTGGGGGTGGTGGCGTCCATCTTGTTGCAGCAGCAAATCATCTGCTTCACCCCAAGTGTGAATGCAAGTAAAGCATGCTCACGAGTCTGACCATCCTTGGAGATACCAGCTTCGAAACCACCGGTGGTAGAGTCGATAATAAGGACAGCACAGTCAGCCTGAGAAGTTCCGGTGATCATGTTCTTGATGAAGTCACGATGGCCAGGAGCATCAATAACAGTGCAGTAGTATTTGGTTGTCTCGAACTTCCAGAGAGCAATATCAATGGTAATTCCTCTTTCACGCTCTGCCTTGAGCTTGTCAAGAACCCAAGCATATTTGAATGACCTCTTGTTCATTTCAGCGGCCTCCTTCTCAAACCTCTCAATGACACGCTTGTCAATACCACCAAGCTTGTAAATGAGATGCCCGGTAGTGGTGGACTTGCCAGAGTCGACATGGCCAATGACCACAATGTTGATGTGTACCTTCTCCTTACCCATAGCTGGAGTAAACAACTAGCTAAGCAGTATAATGATGAAAACAAAATTAGCAGAGGCATCAATACATTCATGGCCACAAGCACTTCACACGAAGAAGTCAAGGAAATAAGCTTTTTGGCACTAAGACAAAGTGAAAGTAACCTTTTATCACTAACAAAATGCAGATTAGTTTCACTTGCAATCAATTTAGAATAAAGCAACTTTGAATCCTCCGCATCCCAATCCAAAACAAGCCCAGTGATTCTAAGAGGCCGCTTCCCCAATTCTTAATTAATCATAAATAATGATAACTAAAGAAAAGGGCTGACAAAATTATTGCTAAGCATTGAAATTACAAACTTTCAATAGAGAAAACTGCTCATTTTCAAGACAACTTCCCCTAGATAAAACCTTAGCCAAGTAAACATCTCATTGATCTAACCATTGCAAGTTTCCTTATGGAAAATAGCAAGTTCAAATTAGGTTCTCTTCGCTAATTTTCACCAGGGTGAACGGCTTAGCATATTAACATGACCTAAGCACAATTGACATTTCACATACATTTAGTTAAGCTCTCAAATAGTTGAATTTGATGAGGTTATCTAAGCAATGCATCAAATAAAACCCAAACTTAATTACAACAAAAAAGTAAATGAATGTCAAAAAAGGTATAACCTAAGCCGAAGGTGTAAATAACCTATGTCAACACTTACCATGCTACCTTAGTTTACCCCTTTACATCATAATCCTTCCATAACAACTTTATCTACCTTCCATATCAGTGCGTTTTCTACTCTTTTTAGAATAAGTTCAAATCATTTAAATTTATTTATGAAATCCTTATCTTCAGCACATGCTACTCCTTCAATCTCTCTAATATAATATTCATCAACCTATCCTTCCTATTCAATCTCTCTAAAATACTTCTAGTCTATGATGCACCGACACTTCTCCTCAAAGAGGCGTGCAGTGTCCGACAGCTAATTTTGCTTCTAGTATGCTTAATTAATTTATTTAAAAGCTACTCAAGATTGATTTCAATTATAGGCTAAATGAAAGCTACTAACTAGATTTAAACAATTAGCTAAAAATTGCCTTGGTTATTCGTTGATAAAATTTCCAAGTCTTCTATACTGTGAAATTTTAATCAAAAACTGCATAAGAAATTTTTTTATTTTTTAGTTTATTTATTTTAAATTAAAAATGCATTTCAGTATGACATCAAAAATTGAAGTTATAAGTCAAAGTTTTGTGACTAATTAAATATTTTTAAAAATAAAAAAATTACAAAACCAAAAAGAAAAAACAGGTGGAAAGTTGTAACAATTAAAATTAATCAGTTCAAATAGGACCAAAACAGAAACAAAATTAAAAAGACATAAGAATATCCATCAAATTCAGAGTTAGCCAAAAAATGATCTTCAAACACATCTAATAACATCAAAATTTTCGTAAATACATATAATTAACTATCAAGTTAAAAATCCTCAATTCGCATCAGAGGTGATGACACAAACGCAAGATCTGCCAATCAGATCACCAAGATATTCCATAAAATGATAGCATATAGATACGGTAACAAAGAAACCTAAGAAAAAAAATTGAGGTCCATCAAATAACTAAAGATTGCATCTTTGCATAAATAAAATCAATTATGCTCTCCAAATTCCCGATCCAAAGTACCAGACTTCATATTCACCTATATCCACTAGCTATTACAAGCTGCACCTAAATTAACTTCTATGGAAAAAAAGAGAAATATTTGTAAATCAACAGCTCCTCCAACAGGATAAAAACCATTCAAACCCACTCTTGAAAGCTCTACAGAAATTGAAGAACACCAGAACTAAAAAAACGATAATCTAAAAAATAAACAATATGAGGCATCTCACCTAGCGTCGAATCGGCCGGCGATCTCGAAGAGAAGCCGGAGCAAAATTAGGTATTCGAGCAAGGCAACGAGCTCTTCTTCATCTCTTTAAATAGCAATTCTCCACAGTTTGACATACTTGGATTTCTCCTCTGCCGTCCGATCCTACATCCGACGGAGCTCCATTGGTTAATTCTTCACCGTTGATGGCCATCTCACGGCCAACGCCTCGCCACGTGGATTCTACTCTTCGTGGATGCAGGCGTTTCCTATTTGCTCTCGGGTTTCATTACCTTGGCATTAATTTTCGAAGTGACTCAAACAACGACCCAAATCCCACAGCCACTCCATTATATCAAATAATATTGCGTCTTGTTCGATGGTTCCTTTTTCAAGTGACGATAGAAAGCGGATTTGATCATGGCAACGATGTCGTGGCGACCGGCCGGTTTTTCCGCGCGGGTGTGCACCGGATTCCAAACCCTAGTAGGGCGTGGAACGGACACGTACGGAGGTGTGATTGGGTGTGGAAAAGATTTGGTAACGGTCTTTTTAGGGGATAATACTATTTGGTAAATTCGGTACTGCCCGATAACGTCCACTTGCGTGGGCTTCTTTTTCTTCGCAAGGCTGTTCGGAGACTTTCAACTTCTTTTCGTGTCCCAATAATTTTCTAAAAATAATAATAATAATGAATAAATAAATTGATTACTTTTTTATTTTCAGTTTTTATAGTTAGATGAGTTTCTGAGAAAAAGGTTGGTTGGTGAACTTTTGAGTCAAATTTGGTTGATATTATATAAAGAAAGATAATTCAAAGTTAAAGAATTATTTTTTTGATTTTGTGTTACAAATTCTATAGTATTTATAGATACAAAATAGTGATGAAAAGATAAAATAAATTGACATTCTTAATGAATATATATATACACTAAATAAAAGTAAATCAAAATGAAAGTAAATTAACACCCGTAATTAATGTCAATTTAATGCATAGACCAAAAGAAATGGAATTGAAGATAAGAAATTTATTTACTTATTTATTTTATCCAATCTTTACAACACCGTGCTCATCTTCCCTTCACTTTTTGGCCATATGCATTATCCACCTTATTAATCGTATGCGCTCTACTACACTTGTCATGCAATCTCCATTCGGAAAATTATTTTGGTCAATACCCCAATTACTCTAAGCTAAAGGTATTTGGGTGGTTGTGTTACTTATTGCTTTGACCCTTTGAGAACCCAAACTTGATCCTCAATCTAACCCTTATGTATTTTTGGAATATTCAACCACTCAAAGTGCTTACCTATGCTATGATATCACCATTAACAAATTAGTCATATCTCTTCATGTCAAATTTGTTAAAATGTTATTCCATTTCTTTTAAATTCCATTAAATCTACCATACAGTTTGGACAAATTAATCAAATATATTTACCAAAAATCAATCATGCTCTACATTTTTGTCACAACGTCATTTTCTCCAAGGAATACTCCAAACAAATACATTTTTGCCATCTCCATGCCCAAAACATCCACCACAGCCTAATGTTGCTAGTCATTCTCCAGTTTTTTTGTTGCCCACCCAAGCTCTCCTAGCTATTCCAAAACTAAAAAATTCCACTGAAATTAAGTCCATCAAATTAAGCGGACATCTTCTCTCACAAATTCATCCCATGCAACCCTTTCCTTCCATAACAGCCTTTGAACCCAATCTTCTCAATAACTCATTAAACATCCAAAATTCGTTACCAACTTCATCAAAAAGCAAATATTTTCAAACCAATAATGGCAATCATATAATAACTCAAAATATGCTAGTTGTATTCCCCGACAATCCTATGAATATGCCTACACATAAATCTAATCCTCAAGACCCATGTAATGACTCTACTACACCATATAAAGAAAATAATGTTCCTTCATCCTCTGCCTCCTCACACCAAGCCCAACCATTCCCCATTATAGTGAGCATAAATTCTCTTACATCTTATTCTCCTCTAATCAATTTCAACAACCAAAAACTTCAAGCAACCCTCAACATAAATCATCAAACCAACTTATCAACTTCAAATAAAAATAACATTTTGACCGATAACATTCTCCTAACTTCTCCAAACATATCAGTACCTTCCCTCATCATACTTTCCTCTTGTAAAAAACAGCACATGAAAACTCCATCAAAATATAATATCCAAAAACCTCTCAGTAAACTTAACCTCAAAGCATATTGTCCATCCTCCTCAACCCATGAAATAACATCAATCGCTCGAGCTATGAAACATCTAGAATAGTGTATTTCCATGTTTGAAGAATTCAACATGTTACTTCACAAGCATACTTGGAAACTTGTCTCTCATACACCTTCTCAAAATCCTATTGATTACAAGTGGGTGTTTCACATCAAACATCATCTCCTTGGCACCATCAATTGCTATAAAGCTCATTTATTAGAGAAAGGATTTCACCAACAGGTTGGTATTGACTATCGTGAAACATCCAGCCTTATAGTCAACAATTTGATTCATCCTCGACCTTGTCATGTCTCCAAAGGTTTATAAATCAAATAGCTTTACGTAAACACTGCCTTCCTTCATGGTCATCTCATTGAAGACGTCTACATATGTAAACCACCAGGAAACTCATTATCCCAACAACCCCACTTATGTGTGTCATCTACAAAGAGTTATAAACTATTGGCACTAAGCCCCTCATGCTTGGTACCAACTGCTTTGCTCCTTTCTCATATCTATTAGCTTTATTAATTTAAAGGTAGACACATCATTATTCATTTACTCAAAAACATGTCTAACACTTATCTTATGGTATATGTGGATGACATCATTCTCAAAGTTAATAATGGTTTTATTCTTAAATAAGAAGCCAACCAACTTTTCATAAAATTCTCCATCAAAGATCTTGAGATCTTGCATACTTTTTTTGGTATCGATGTTTTTCCCTCCACTGAAGGCCTTTTCCTATCCCAACTCAAATATATTAAATTCTTTTATAACCGACAAATATGAAAAATGCAAAAGATGTTACCATGCACATGTCTCCCACCAACATGACCACCATACTTGATGGCATCTCACTCATCGATGCCATCAAGTATCAGTCACTAGTTAGTGGTCTTTTCTCTCTCTCTCTCTCTCTCTCTCTCTCTCTCTCTCACACACACACACACACACACACACACTCACTCACTTGGCCAAACATTGCATTTGCTATTAATGAACTTTCAAAATTCATGCTTTGCCCTACCAAGGTTCATTGGAGCGCATTCAAATGAATTCTTCACCACCTTTAAGCCACTAGTCATCAATATCAATTTCTTCATCACAATTATGTTCTCTCCCTTCATGGATTCTTAAATGATAGTTGGGCTGGCAATATTGTGGACTAAACTTTCACAAGTGCTCACATTATTTTTTGGGTCACAATCCAATCTCTTGGTGCTCCAAGAAATATTATAGCTCGCTCATCCACTAAATCAGAGTACCATACAATTGCCTTTATTACTGTTAAAATCAGTTAGTTAAAATCTTTACTTCTTGAGCTCAATGTCTCTCTACCCACCATACCAACAATCTATTATAATAATATATGTTCAACCTACATATATGCAAACACAATTTTTCTTTCATGTATGAAGCACATTATAATAACCTCAAATTTAATTTTCTTGAATTCTAGAAAATTTGCTAAGTGAGCATTGTGACGCTAATCTTGGGCCATTTTGGCGCCAAGCTCTTAGTTTTTTTATAATTTTTTTTTCTTGAGGGAGCACTGTAGTGTTAGATCAAGCACTACAGTGCTAGGTTTGAAACATTATTTTCTAAATAAAATATCTCAAACCATTGTGTTAAATCCCTCACCACCCAATCTCTCCCCCCATTCCTTCCTTAGCTTGGTGAGAAAATAGGAGAGAAAAGAAGAGAGAGAAAGAAAGAAAGAGGAGAGAGAAAGTAGGTATGTGTTGATATTTTTTATCTTTCAGATTGTGAAGGTTATTTTAATCATGATAAGTAACCTTAATCCTATGTTTATTTCAATAATTTTGTCTTTTGCTTATTTTCTCCCTCCTAAAATTAATAAAAATTTTTGATAAGGTTCATGCCAAGGTGCCATATGAATCAACGTCGAAGCATCAATTTCAACGCTATGGCACCAACCTTCTCTATTTGCAGGTGGAGTCATCCGTCTAAGGATAAGGAGAACCGGGGACGCCGAGATATTCTATAATAGAACCCCCAAAGAGAGACTTATTATCTACTTACCGTTCTAATTCTTTTTATAGATACTAATTCTTTTTCACAGACTTCAGCTTTGCAGCACATCATAGCACATTAGCTGCAATATCCTCTATGTTGGCTAACAATTTTTTTTAGTCAATATAACTCCAAATTGCAATCGCTATAGCGTTGTTATTGTACTATTTTAATTGCACAAATTTTTTCAAAAGTTTTAGGCATTAGTGAAATTTCTTAAAAAATTGGTACCTCTAGATACAAGTGAGAATTTTGTGATTGTCATGTATCCATTTTGCATATCAATTTCATCGATATTTTTTAAATAAAATGATTTATTTTATGAATATTTTTTTATAATTTTTAAAGCCACAAAGAATTTATAATAATTTTAAATTGATAATTAATTAAATTATAGAATTAAATAATATTATATTATTATTTATTCCTAAATATCTAAATCCATTATAAGAATTTATTAAATCCATTCGATGCATTATTTGATAATGAATTTTTGTAGTCTACCGTTAAGACATTTTGGCATTTTCTGTATTATATTCAATTATGCATTATTTGATGCAATATATCAGAAATGAATATGGATATGTAATTAAGATTAATGTTATAGTACTGTTATGATAACAATATGCTTATAAAAGATAAGTAAAGACTAGTTAACCGGTTGGTTGAAAACTGAATTACATGTACATGATGGTGGGCTGATGGGTTTGCTTTAAAATATTATGGTTTGGTGTTATTCTTTACTGATTCATGTGATGTATTGATTGAGAGTTATAAGTAGATTATTATTGTGCCATCGGATAAAGAGTGATGACTTTGTTTACTAAGCTAATGGTTTACTGATACTAATATAATACTGAAAAATACTATGATAACTAAAACTTCTTACTTGTTTATTAGTGTGAGTCACTCCAGAAAAATCACCCATTTCTGGCGGCTGTTTCCGACGACAATTGAGCCTTTTCCAGTGGTTTTGTAATTTAGCAGCAGTTTTTCGGCGGTTTAAATACCGCCGGAACAAACCACGTAGGAAAATAAATTCCGGCGATTTTTTCCGGCGGCAAGTTATTCTGGTGGCTCGTCGGCGGTCTTAAACCGCAGGTCAAATTAAAAAAAAAAAATCAGCTACCGGCCAGCCACCCCGCTCCGGCCAGCCCCGCGCTGCTGGCACCGCGCCCGTCACCCCGCTCCCGGCGCCTACGCCCACTCCCGCGCTCCCGGGCGCCACGCTGCCTGCGATTTTTAATAATTTTTTGTTAAATCAATAAAAATACTTAAAATTTTATTCATTTTTATTAAATTTTTTAAAACCGCCAAAAATTTGAAAAAGCTGCCGGAAAATCACCGGAAAGCCGCCGGAAACGTGACCGCCGGCAAGTCGCCGGAAAATTCCGCCAGAAATTAGTGATTTTCCTGTAGTGAGTACTGAAATGCATGTTCTTAAGACATTATTCTTATTATTGTAAGGATTTATTATTACTACAAAGATTTATTATTATTGTTTTATTTTACTGCTCATGCCACTAAACTATTATTATCATAGATACTACTACTATTCATACTACTATTATTTGATACTACTGATTAACTTTATAATAATCATGTGACATACTAAACACGTAAAATATTGATTTGATAGTGATATAGAATAGTTGAATAATATGTGTACATTTATATATGATTTTATTACATTGATTTAATTTCAATAGTTTTTACTGATGTTTTGATTTGCATGTTATCCGATTTATGTACTGATTGGTATTACTAATATGAAGATTGCTTTATAGATTTGACACTCATACTATTTTATTACTTTCTAGCTTCTATTCCATAGTATTTTATTATTTATAGAATCTACTATTACTATATTTTAATTTTACTATTTATGCACTAATTCAATGATCTTAGAAATGTTACTTCTATGATTTGACTGTTGATATGCATATTGCTCCTTTCTCATTCTTTGAAATTAGTTATAGGTTTTGGTGACCTGTTGACTTTTGTATTCATTATATATGTCTAAATAATTTCAGATAAGGGCAGAGGATGAGGAGTGTGAGGTTGGTTAGTATTCTTTCATATTTATGTTCTTTTTATTTTAGCTATTCTTTTTTACTCATGATAGAGTTGTTAAGATATAATTGTTTAGATCCTGAGTAGTGTATATAATTTTTGGGAATGAATACAGACATGTACAATAATGTTTTTTAATTATATAATCTATTTTACTATTTATTATTGATAGATGATATTAAAAAGCTATGGTTATTATTTATCAAAAGATTTAAATAATAATTCTTCTAATTGAGATTCAAGGACAACACAATTGTGCCCAAAATTAGCACTATAGTATTGAGTGTCTCAAAAAAATTCATGTAGGAGTGCCAACGTTTCCAACACTACAATGCAAAAAATTCATTCCAAGCACCACAACGCTCAAAATTTATGGTGCCACAATGGAGCAATTACAACTATTAAGAGTTAAACCAAGTTACTGACTCAAAGAAGAGATGCATGAATTCAGGCTGTAATCATGCCACGTCACTCAGTGCCATAATGGAGTCGACACTCCAACACCTCGGTGGTAGTTCACTTTTCATCGCAGTAGCGCCACCATATATTATTCCACGACGCTCTTGTTTGATCTTGAATTTATTATAAATTGATGCCAATTCTATTATTTGTGTAGTTCAGTTTCCTTAGTGTAATTAAGTACTTTAATTTTAAAGTGTATTTTTTTTGTGCCCCCTTGGAGTAAAGTCAAAGGGAGGCTAGGGAATTACAAGATATATTCTTTTAGAGGGACTAACCTATGCTTATATAAGCAACTCTATAAGTTGAGGAAGGAGTATAGAGAAGATATTTAGATCCGTCCTGATGATAAACTTCTTACAACTTCTCTTTTACTTTATTATTCTATAAATAAAATGAATATGAGTTTACTTATTATCTATAAATAAAATGAATATGAGTTTACTTATTATTTATTTCATGTCTAGCTACATCTTCTATTTTGGGCTAATGATGTAAAGAGCATATTAAATACCAATATAGAATGATATTCTTTAATGAAAATAATGTTATTTTCAATATCCCTCATTCTTTATTTAATGCTTATAATGACCATGTGTGTAGTTAAAACCTAGTGTGATGTGATATTCTTTATTATTCTTGATGGAGGAATACAATAATAATTAAGAATTTTTAAATGGAGTATTGGTATGCCTAGATATATGAAGTTTTAATATTCTATATTTTATGGAGATAAATTAAATTATAGGAAGGCTAACAATATTTCTTTTCACTCCTATAAGCTTGACAAAGATCTAAGAATGCACATGCTCTGAGTAACATCTATAATTAAGACTCTCATTATAAAAAATATATATATAATTTATACGCATAAGTCCAAAACATTTTATCAAAATTGTATCATCTAATTTTTTTACTTATTTTTTATTTAGTGGTAAGAACTCAAAAACTCCATTTTTTATTTTAGTATAATAAATTTATACATTTGGAGTAAGTATTGGAAGTTTTGTTATAATATAGTAGATCATTTTCTCTTTGGTTTGACACTCTACTCTATCACTTTATTATTTGATTCAACACTTAAAATTACATAAATTAGTGGGATATTTTAAATTTTATATAAAAAGTAAGCATATTTCACATTTAATGAGTTTAACATTAGTTCACTATTATCTTATCACATCATACACCCCTATCAAGTTTTTTGCATAGTTGTCGAGGATGTTTGGTGCCTATTACAAGTCATTATATTGTTAAAATAAGTGCATATTTAGACCTACTTATATTATGTATCTTTATTTTATTTGTTAAAAATTTCAAAAAATCCAAAAAATATTTTTTTATTGACTATTTGCTTTTTGTTTTTAGTTGTTATATATTGTGGAGAAACTCCTATCAAACATCCTAACTTACATTTAGCTATTAAAAATATGTACAATTTTAAGTATAATGGTGTCAGTGATGATGCCATTAGATTAGACTATACCCAAGTGACAAGGATAAAATGTTGTTAAATTATTTACTCTCAGGCTCTATAATCATTTGGAATGAGTTGGCATGCAAATTCCTAGCAAAGTATTTCCCACCTTCAAAGACTGTTAAATTTAGAAATGATATCTCTTCTTTTGCCCAATTTGAAGAATCTATTTATTAAAGTTGGAAGAGATTTAAGGAGATGCTTAAGAAATACCCTCACTATGCTTTACCTAATTTCTTGGTTATTAAACCATTTATAATATATTAGTAATATCTCTTAGGTCAATTATAGATGCTGCAGTTGGAGGATCTTTATAATTGAAGAAATGACTACTAATAATTTTTAGTTGTATGCTGATAGGATGAATCATAAGAAAGTAGCTATAGTTTATGAATATGATATTTTATCAATTTTTAATGTTCATGTAGCTACTATTTCAATATATATATATTGAAATAGTAGCTACATGAACATTAAAAATTGATAAATTAATATCATATTCATAAACTTAGGATCTAGCTCATCTATACAATTGAAAGAGACTCATTTGAATTCTATTAAGGATACTAATGCTTTAGGGATTGAAAATGTCACCTGATTGAAAGACAAAATAATAGTTATTCAAATACATACAATCCAGGTTGGAGAAACCACCCTTACTTTAGTTGGTCAAGGTGGAAATACTTAGTGAAATTTAGGAAAATCTAATCAAGGATAAAATTTGATTAATCCTCAGTAATCTATCATGAATCATAAACCTTCTTACCCTCCAGGCTTTAATTAAAATAACCAGTATGAGAATATAAAGTTATCCTTATAAGAGGTAGTGATTCAAATAGAAACTCAATTGCAAAGTCAAGCTACTTCAATTAAAAATTCAAATACTCAATTATGACAGCTTTCAATTTCTTTTAGTAATGTTGATATTTACCCCAAAGATAAAGAAAAAGAACCTAGTGGTAACCACTTGAGGAGTGGTAGTAATGAACTCTAGCCAAATTGATAAATCTAGGCAAGTCTTGCTAAAGACTATAAACTTAGCACTGTTTGGTAGGCAACCTATCTTTATATTTATATGTGCTTTCTAATTTGTTATAGTTTATATGTCTTATGTTTTATATTTTGCATTAAGTGTATGTTCATATTTGACTTTGATCAAAGTTATAATTTAAGTCCTGAGAAAAATTAAGGTGTTAAATTATGAACTAGCACCATTTCGCTAGGGATTGAAGCATTGCAATGTTCTTATGATAAGCACTATGGCATTCAAAGATGGCACCACAGTGCTAAGCTCTTGGAAAAAAATACTCATTTGAACCACCGTACTGCAATATGTCATAATGCAATCTACTTGAACACCGTAGTGCTTCATTTACCTATATAGCACCTCTTTGTTGCACCTTCAAGCGCTACGACATCAGGTCTGAAAAGTCAAAAGGAAATTCTATCGGTTTAAAAAGTAATCATATGATCATAACTTTTATATTTTGTTACTTTGGTGAGCACTATAACACTATTGTCAGCACTGCGATGTATGGTTAAAATCATTATGGTTTTAGTAATAGTTCCATGATGTTAGTCTTTTTCAAATGTTGCATTGCTCATATGTATCAATACCATAACATATTCCCATTCATAAAGTGATGCTTGAGTTTCCAAAACCAAGCACCACTGTGCCATATGTCCCTTCCCACTATAACATCTATTAGTTTGACCATATGTCATTTTGTGTGTTTTAGCACCGCAACACTGATCCCTATAGCGCCACAACATTCACCATGTTTAGAAATAGAATCTATGGCTAAATTTTTCTTAGTCTCATTCCTTTTAGTACAATGACCCCGCAAATGTTTGGCAAGAAGTAATCTTTATCTTATGACAAGCATATGTTCATTTCTTTCGAAGCCGATGGAAGGTTTTCCAATTTTGTAGTGACCAATATCTTATCCCATAGCATGGTTTTCAAAGCCCTAGTCTTCTTGTTATGTATATAATAGTGCTTCAGAGTTGGGAGCATTTCTTTGAGGAACCTTATGCTAGAATTATTAATATTATGATGGAGCTTTTCATAAATGCAAAGGAGACTATAAATAATAAGTGTTATGTGAGAGTTAAGTGGGTTCCCTTTAATTTTGTTTCCATTAACCACTTGTATAAGTTGAAAGATTTTGAGTATAATGAGTATGCTACCTTTTTTTAAGGCTGATTGAACCGGATGAAATTTTAAGAGTTTTGTATGGTTCTAATAGTGGAGCTACTTGGAAAAGGGAAAATAAAGTCATTAACTTCCCATCCATTTTTCTTGCTTAAATATCTAAAGTTTGGCACTATTTTATTTCTTCCCATCTTTTACCCAGCACAAACATTAGTGAAGTCACCTGATAACGTGCTATTTTGAACTATGTTATTCGTATTTGGTACTATATTGTTATAAGGAAATTAATTTATTTATCCTTAACCTATATAATTAGGGCATTACTTGTATAGGTTTGGGGCACCCCTCTCTTGTTTATGCTTTATCTGTTAATGCTTGTGTTAGGGGAGATCAGTCTAAGGAGCAATTTTTCCCCATCTTCGCTTTAACAAGAAGAAAAAGTTTGAGTTTTAAGAAAGTAGAAGGAGGTGATGAGAAGGGAGGACATAGTGAACCTAGATCTTCTGGAAGAGCTAACAATAGTAGGAGTCTTGAGACTTCTAAGATTGTACGTGAGCAGGTAGCAGATCTTGGAACACAAATGGAGGGAGTTCTAGATTTTTGTGAGGAATCTAAAGATTGATAGTTTGAGATGAAAATGCAGATGGCCCACAGTACTATTGATCAGCGAGAGAAGAATTATATATTACAATTGATTTTAATAAAGCTCTCACTGGATGTTTAGGAGCAGTCCATTAGTGGAGCACCCATACGAGCTTCATTTTCCTTCTGTGTTTGTTTATGAGCCCTTTAGTTGGCAGTCTTTTACATTTTTTTAAAAATTTTTATGTTAAAATTGATGCATATTGTTCTCTATAATTATTGCACTTGATTTCCTATTTAGCCAAAAAAATATAAAATTAGGATTAAAGTAAAAGCATAGATTAAATTTTGAATGAATATTACATGATAACTCCTACTTTGAAAAGCCTAACACTTAACTAATCTAGATCATTTAAGTTATTGACTTAACTTTGAAATTATAAACTATACATTAACCTATATTAACAACTAAATTAAAAAATGAATATATAAATTTAAGGATTAGATATAAGTAGCTTAAATTAAGGAAATCATAGTTAAACTTGAAATTTTAAGTAGAAAATTTATTGAATCCTTACATTAATTTTTCAAAAGGATTGCAAGAGAAGAAAAGTAAAAACTGATGTTCAAAATTATTGTATGTACTTTATAAAATAAGAAGAAAGGAAAGAAAAATGCAAAAAAAAGAGCAAAATGGAAATGGTTTAAAATGAAAAGATAAGTACATTCAAAGATGGTATCAATTTTAGCTTGATTTCAATTTTATCCAATTATTTAACTAAAAATGATTAAATAAGTAATCTAGTACATGCAATAGTGCACTTATAAATTTCCTATTTAAACTATGCGCAACTAATACCTGAACAAAATTACAATAAATAGACGTTTGTTATATTATTTATGGAGTTCATTTCCCTGAGCGTAATTACATACTTTTTCAGTTTATTTCTTTAGTGCCCCCTTAGAGTAAAGTCTAAATGAGACTAGGGAATGTCAAGACACAATCTTTTAGAGGGACTATTATGTGTTTGTATAATCAACTCTGTTAAAAGAGGAAGGAGAGTACAGAAGATACTTAGATCCATCATGGTGATAAACTTCTTATTACTTCTCTTGTACTTTATTCTTTTACAAATAAAATGAATATGAGTTTGCTTATTATTCATTTCATGTATGGCTGGATCTATAGTTTTGGGTTGATTATGTAAAGAGCATATTAAGTACTAATATAGACTCTTATTCTTTAATAAAAATAATAATATTTTCAATATATCTCATTCTTTATTTAATACATACAATGGACATATGTATGTGTAGTTAAAATCTAATGTGATGTTTAGCCTTGATGAAGGAATGGAAGAACAATTAGGAATATTGAAATAGAATGTTGGTATGCCTAGACATAGTATGTTTAAATATTCTAGGTTCTATGGAGATAGTAAAACTATTGAAGACTAAAAATCTTTCTTTTCACCTCTACAAGCTCGATAGAGATCTAGGATGCACATACTTTGATCAACATCTATAATTAAGAGTCTCATTAAGAAAAATATGTTATCTAATTGCATCAATCTAAAATATTTTATCAAATTTACATCAACTATTTTTTTACTTATTTTTGTTCAGCGGTAGGAACTCAAAAAGTTACTTTCATTTCAATAGGATAATTTAATGTATTTAGAGTAAACAATTATAGTTTTGTAACAATATTGTATATCACTTTTTTGTGGGTTCAACACTCCACTCTATCTGTTTATTATTTGATTTGGCACATATACTTAGGTAAATTTGTTGGTTGTTTTAAATTTTATATCAAAGAAAACTTAAACATTATTTCAAATTCAATAAGTTTAATACTAGTTCGTTGTTATCTTATCACATCATATGTCCCCATAATTAATATATCTTATTTTAGTAATTTTTTACTATGTAACTTTTGATATATGATATATATCACCACCTTGAATATTTTGGCTGATTTATGTTGAATATCATCCTTTGGTTTTGTATATATATATATCATTTTATTCTACATGTGTAGTATAATATTGAGTATAAAATTATTAGGATTTAGTATATTACTATTGAACATGAGATACATAATATGATACATTTATTATTCATTTAGTTAAATATGCATTTTTGGCATAATACATGCATATATATGAGCATAATGATTATTGTATTGAGTGCATAAGAGGTTTCTTTTAAGATTTATATAATATGAAATGCATGTAAAACCAAGAAAACTAAATGTAAATGATTAAGTCATTCAGGTTGCTTGGAGACATGTTATCTTATATATGAGAATGGGTCGATAGACTTTTCTTTAAATAAGATTTATGATGTAATCCTAAATGATATGAAAAGGGGGTATAAGAAGATTGACTAATATGATATGATACACTAATGAGCAAGAAGTGATGACTTATTGTATGAAAGCCACGTAACATGTGATATATGATATGAGACTAATTCTTGGATACATGG